TGCTGGCGGCCCGCGCCAGTCTCGAGCTCTGCCTTTTTGCCTTCTCCAGCCCACAGCTGGGCCGTGCCGTGCAGCTGCTGCACCAGCGCGGCGTGCGCGTGCGGGTCGTCACTGACTGCGACTACATGGCGCTCAACGGCTCGCAGATCGGTCTGCTTCGCAAGGCAGGTAGGCTGGATGTCCAGCGTGGGGGCGCGGACGGTTGAGACTGCGCAGACCCATCCTCTGGGCCTTGCGACGTCGAATAGTTCCAGTTTGTGAACATGGAGCCATCCAGAGGGATCCAGCCCCGTGGGCGGCGCTGTGCCAGGGCCCGCAGCCCCAACACGGGTGAGAGTCCTGGCAGAGGAATTTCTGTCCCGTATCTGAGGGTGACCCAGGAAGTGAGCAGGCTGCGTGTTCCCAGCTCCTGGCCGCCAAAGTGCTGGAATCCCGCCGGAGCAGGTGGCCGGCACCCTGGGCAGCAGTCAGACCCTGGGATTCCCGGCATGGCCTTGGCAGGCATGCAGATCGTGTGTGCCTGGGTGAGGTGGGCGGGGAGCCCAGCGTGACCATTTCAGCCTGAAACAGAGATGGCTTAGCGTGATAGAACTGTGGAAGTGGAGGGCAGAGTTTAAAAACAAACCTATATTCCTGCCCACCGGCAAGTGGTCCTGAGAGCCGGGAGTTGCTCACTGACTGCTCCTGTCAGCAGGTAAGCTGGGTGGTAAAGATTCCCCGTCAGTTCCAGCACTGAACGGCTGATGGAGAAAAATAGCACACTAAAGACTGGAACTAAATGTCCAGTTGATTAGCAGTCTCTTAACTATTTCTCCAGCTGCAAGATGGGGACGACAGAGCCAGGCCCACCAGCCTCTCTCCCTGGGTGGGAGATGGAATGAAACAGGAAGTGTGAATAGTTTTGAAGGCCATTTAAATTCAGTTTTACACTACCTGTGAATTCTGTATTTCATGCTCTTTCACCCCAGTGTGTCAGCTGGTGTTTTTCGTGGTGCAGCGTGCAGTCTGTTCCCTGCACTACAAGGTCTAGGCCGTGTACTGCTCATGTCAGGCCCAGGAAAGTCATTGTTGCCTGGGCATACATTCAAGCTGGTAATTCTGGTAGCCACGGGGACTGAAAACCATTCTAAACCCTTGAGAACTGCCTGGTTGCAGTGGCTCCACTGTTGCTCTTAGAGTGTGCCACTGTAGGCCCTTGGTGACCCAGAAAGTGGAGTAGGCTTCTTGGGACCGCGCTTGGTTGTCTGTGTCACCAAAGAATCTGAGGGGAGGGCACTTTCAGTCTCGCAGAGCACACTGTGCAGCTGACGCTGCTGGCACAGATGTGGTTCAGATGTTGAGGACTACTCACTCAGACTGGCTTGGTAGGAATTGTGCTAAATCTGTCTGTTGTTTTAATGGAGGACCGTAGACAGGTGTATTTTAGCTGTTTGCTTTGAGAGAGTCAGAATCTCAGGGTTAGAAAGAATCTTAAAGGGCCTCTGAGGCTGGTTTTCCCCTTGTGGCACCTCAGATAGTCTGCTTGAACTTGAGGCGGTATGTTTGTGCGCCAGGAGCAGCTCTTGGAGCTGGGAATCCAGAGTGAGCAAGACAGTTCCATGGGAGCCAGCTGAGCCAGGAGTGTCTAATCCAGGGTGGTGAGAGGGGTCACGGAGACAGTAAAGTAGGGGGATGGCATTGTGGGGGAGGGGCGACGATACTAGAGGAAGAGCCTTTTTGTTGGAGGGCACAGCGGGTACAAAGCCCAAGTCAGGACTGAGTGAATGTGAAGAACAGAAGCCCACTGTGTCCAAAGGTGGAGGAAGCAGAGGGGCCGAGGTCGGGGGCAGAGGCCTGCAGGCTGGCTTACATAGGTGGTGGGCTGCGTAGGGAATCATAGTCTCACAGAGCTCTCAGTGCTGTGGAGAGGGCGGGAGTCAGGGATGGGGTACAGGGCCAGGATGGAAGCACAGAGGCTGTGGAAGGGCCCTGTGTTGAGGGGTGGCATTGGAGATGGGGAGAAGTAGTCGAATTTAAGATATTTTGAAGGTAGAGCTAACAAGATTTGCCAGTGGATTGGTTATTGGGTATGAGGAGAAGAGGTGCTGGGTTCACCTGTGATAAATAAGTCACTACTTTCCAAGGTAGCGTTAGATAAAATACAAGTTGCCTAGTTAAATTTGAATTTTAGGCAAAACAACAAAGAATTTTTTTGTGTAAGTGTGTCCCAGATATTGCATGAGACAAACTTAGACACTAAAAAGTCTTTGCTGTTTATCTGAAATTCACATTTAGGTTGGGGGCATCCTGCACTTTTTTTTTTCTTTTTTTTTTAATTGTACTTCAGG